GAAAGAGTGTAGAGTCCATAAATATGTAATAAAGAACATTATAACAGTACTATTAGGTGGAGGTACAGCCCATAATATTGCAGTCAAGAGTATGTAATGGACATTGTACATTATATAATATTAATTTCTGCACCCTGTAGGCCATGTCATAATTTAACTGACCCCTACACTTTTTACACTGGACTGTACATTGCTTACTCCTGACCATTTTCACTCTGTATTCTGAACCGTACATCACATACTCCCGATTGCTGAATACTGCATGCTGTACTGCACATTGCACACTACTGATTGCTGCATTCCCAGAAGGATTATGTAACATTTGGCCCACCATTAGAATGCCAAGATTGGTCAGGAGTATCCAACATATAATCCAGTCTACAGATGTCAGGAATATGTAAAGTACGGTCCAGTTAACAAAGTGCAGTGCTCAGAAGTATTTTATATACTGTACAATCAAGAGTATAGAGATCAGCATTAATAAATGTGTAACAGGAAGCAATAAGACTTATGTAACAAACAGCACAGCATACAGAGTATGTCATTCAAAAGTATGAAATGTGCATGGTACAATACTTACTTTTGACTGCCATTTCATACATCTAACTGCTCCACTCCCAACATAGAGTGCAGAGACCAGGAACACTTTACTCACATGAAGTACTTACATTTATCACCTCATCACAGACTATCCCCGCTTCAGTCTATCCTGAACTCAGCGGCCAGACTCATCCACCTCACCAACTGCTCCGCTTCTGCCACCCCCCTCTGTCATTCCCTCCATTGGCTTCCGATTGCCCAACGCATTAAATTCAAACTACCTCACCGACCTGATACTCAAATACCACCCTACCCGTAATCTTCGCTCCTCACAAGACCTCCTACTTTCTAGCTGCCTGGTCTCCACCTCCCACGCCCGACTTCAGGACTTCTCTGGGACTTCCCCCATCCTCTGGAACTCACTACCTCAATCCATCAGACTGTCACCTTCCCTCCTCACCTTTAGGCGCACCCTGCAAACCCATCTCTTCTGGAAAGCCTACCCCACCCTGACCTAACAGCTGATCTACATTCTACACTTCTCCTACCACTCCATCCCCCTCAGCCACTTCCTCCTGTACCACTATCCCCTCCCTCCTAGATTGTAAGCTCGAAAGAGCAGGGCCCTCGAACCCCTCGTGTATTGTAATTTTACTGTATTGTCTCATGTACTGTCCCCCACTATAATGTACAGCGCTGAGCAAACCTTTTGGCACTATACAAATAATGTATAATAATAATTTAGGCACATATTTTTTCATTAGCAAAAATATTAACCCTCCTTCAAACAAAAATACCCCCCCAAGAAAACCCCCTAATAACAATCTCCCCAGTACACACAGTTTCCCCCAGCACAGAAAAAAAATGTACCAGATCTCAGATATAGAGTGGCAGAGACATTCTATATCTGAGGTTAGAAAACTTCCCTCGGCTCTGAGCTGCAATGCATCTGAGGTCAGTATTGACACTTTTTAGCTATCCAAAGTCCCTGCATAGCTGCAAAGATGCAGTGTATCACTGACCGTTAGGCATGAAAGACCCATGGCATGTTTTGTTTTATAAATGAATAGGTAATACAGTGATGGCTTAGAGATGCATCCAATGAATATTTGACTGCTGCTACTAGAATGAGCAGAATAATACGATGATCAGAGCGAATTTAACTTATTAAAAGGGTTTCTACCAATTTATATTACCACTGCTCTTGGAGTCTGCTGGGGAAGAGAAATAATACTGTCAGTCATATGACATAGTGAGTGCCGTGATTTAAATCACCACACACTAGGAGAACGATCAGAAGACGAAGAAGAAGAAGAAGAATGAAAAGAAGAAGAAGAAGAATGAAAAGAAGAATGAAAAGAAGAAGGAGAAGAAGAATGAAAAGAAGAAGAAGAAGAATGAAAAGAAGAAGAAGAAGAATGAAAAGAAGAATGAAAAGAAGAAGAAGAAGAATGTGACATGTTTTGAAAAGAAGAAGAAAAAGAATAAAAAGAAGAAGAAGAATTGAAAAGAAGAAGAAGAAGAATGAAAAGAAGAAGAAGAAGAATGAAAAGAAGAAGAAGAATGAAAAGAAGAAGAGAAGTAAAAGAAGAAGAAGAAGAATGAAAAGAAGAAGAAGAAGAATGAAAAGAACCCCAGAGAAGAAGAAGAAGAAGAATGAAAAGAAGAAGAAGAAGAATGGCTTAGAAGAAGAAGAAGAATGAAAAGAAGAATGAAAAGAAGAAAATGAAAAGAATAAAAGCACTTTTTCTCAAATAATGAGAAGAAGAAGAATTTGAAAAGAAGAAGAAAAGAAGAATGAAAAGAAGAAGGAAAAGAAGAAGAAGAATGAAAAAGAAGAAGAAGAAGAAGAAGAGGAAGTAGGATTGAAGAAGAAGAAGAAGAAGTATTAGGATGAGGATGAAGAAGAAGAAGAAGAAGTAGGATGAGGATGAAGAAGATTTGACATGTTTTATGAAAAATGAATGAGGATGAAGAAGAATTCCATTCCAGCAAAAAGTGTATCTGCAGAGAGCTCCGCTATTTCTGACAGTTATGACAGTTCCTTCACATTTACAGCGGTTGAAACATTGTATCTATTTGTTTCCGAATTAAATGGAAACATGGCTGTAAATGTGGAACTGGAGAACTGTCCTAAATAGGGACCCCTCTGCAGGGACACTTTTAAAGCGGATAGGGGAAAATTCTGCTTGGTCACGTGTACTACAGGGAAGCTTATAATAAAGCTTACATGAAGGAAGATGACTAATCTCCACTTCGCCAGGTTCGAATTTCGCTCAATTCTAAGTAGGGCAAATTAATATCTCCTACACGTGCACTGTTTACAAGATATTCACATGTTTTGCAGCCAGTGATGTCACCGGTTCATGTGCACTGCACTCTGAATATAGGTCACAGTGAATGTGTAGTCAATCCAGAGCTCTGTGCCGTGGCCAAGACTCTTGTTCACATGCATTGGAGTGACGTCATTGCGGCTCAGCCATTCAAATGGCAGGAGCCTGCGAACCCAAAGAAAGACCGCATAAAGATGGAAGCCCTGTCATTGGTGACAGAGCATCACCAGAGGGCTTTGTTTTACAGTTAAGTCTTTCACAATGTGCTAGGATTAAATTAATACTAGAACATTATGCCATTGACTTGCAGTAGGGATGTTTTCTCTAAATTTACTAGGCTAGGACTGTGGGGGGTGAGGCACTAATCCCCAGCATGCAAGGTATTCTCTCCATGTTGAGGTGGTCTGGTATTGTTCGGTTATGGTGGCACATGCTTGCTGCCACTCCCTTTCCTGGCCAGCTAGGCAGCATGCCTTGAGTGTCTGCTATGGATATCGGGGGGTCTAGTATGGATAAAAAAGAGGAACCCAGACAAAATGCAAAAAAAGTGCTTGAATTAACCCCAAAATCCACACCAGACGCTTATCCATGAATGCAGCCTAGCTGACTAGGAAATGGAAGGGCAAAAAAGTGACAACCCCCCTATCTTGAAATATACCAGGTCACATACTCACGGCACTTTTCAGGGTACCTTTTCGAGAAGAGGTGGTGAAGCCTCTCCATGGGCAAGGCACCTTGTCCCCATGCAGATGAGTACAAGGACCTCATCCCTACATCCCCGACTAAGTGGATGTGGAGATCTGCAGGGGAAAACTTATTAGAATCTGCAATTGCCCTTTAAAATAAAGGGACCCCCAGATATTCACCTCTTCAGGTGAATGAATAGTGGGTACATAGTGCCTCTTGTTACTCATTCACAAAAAAGGTTGAATAAGTTTTAAACATAGAGAAATCATAGTAAAATACCCCCATGTAAATCCAACGTCAATTACATTGTCCATTGATTTGATGACTTGTGACACGACGATTTTCTGCCACCGGACTCCCATCAGAAATTACGGCTCCTCAACTGTCTGCAGAGTGTCAATAAACTGGCATGTCATACTGACAGGAAAGGTGACATTCTGCAGTTAACATGGTATTAATAAGTTCATGGTGTGGCTTTTTGTACCGTTCATCATGATTGATGTTGGATTTACCTAACTGGATAATGTGATTGATATTGGATTAAATATGCTGGAACCTTTTCTTAAACACGGGTGCTTTGCTTTCTTTTTTGAGGGAGGTGTGGATATCTAGAGCCCCGTATTTTAATGGCATATATCTATATCTGATAAGTTACCCCTGTAGACCCATACATTCACTGACCAGGAATGTGGGGATGATGCCCTTGTCCCCAGTTTCCTCCCTGCAAGATATTCTCCCCATGTTGAGGGTATGTAGTCTGGTATGGTTTAGGGGGAGGCTGCTTGCATGGATAAGGCTCTGATGTAGATTTTGGGCAGGTCCCCATCCCTTTCTTTTTAATGGCACAGTACACATTTTTGTTGACAATATGTACTATCCCTTTTATAAAAAAAGGACAGGGAGTCCCACTCAAAAACCACACAGCTGACAATGGTCTGGTATGGTTATAGAAGGGGACCCCATACAAAAAAAAAATGACTTGGAGTCCCCACAAAATTCACAGCAAACCCTTTTCCAGGCATGCAGACCCCCTTCCTTCCCCATCCTGAACCATACCAGGCCATATAACCTCAACATTGTCAAAGTACTTTCCGGGGTGGGGGGGGGGGGGGAGAAGATGAAGCCTCCCCTTAGCAAGGCACCTTGTCTTTGTAAATGGAGAATGTGGGGGTCTTCAGGCAGAGACTTATTGGAACCTGGAATCCAGCTTTAAAATAAGTGAACCCACAGATATCTCCCCCTCCACACGTGAATGAGTAAGGGGTGCATAGTTCCCCCTTGCTACTCATTCAAAAAAAATCAGTTAAATAATAAATAAACACACACACATCATAATAAACATCCTTTTTATCCATAATAAACATTAACCAGTTGCCCTCCACCCTATAGCAGAAATACTACTATAGGGCACCAGGGCTGCGCAAAATCATGCATATATACATGATTTTGCATTTCCGGGTAGGGAGCACGCACTACGTTGGTGGCTACAGATGACGATCACTGGGTCCCAGCCAGAGACTCCCCATCAGCACTCAGCGTTTGCTGAGAAACAGTGACAGGGGAGTGACCTGTGTGTAAACAATACAGGTCTCTCTCCTGCCAGCAATAAACATGCTGCTGTGCTCTGTACAGCAGAGAAATACACAGCAGCATGTTTCCCTAGTAAAACACACACAGCACATACAGTAAAATGGCACACAGTTAACCCTTTCATCGTCCCATATGTGAACCCCTTCCTGCCCAGTGTCATTAGTACAGTGTCAGTGCTTTTTATTAGCACTGATCACTGTATTAGTGTCATTGGGATTTCAGTGGCAGTTAGTCAGTTCCCATCCAGTGTCAGAATGCCCGCCGCAGTCCCGCTATAAGTCGCTGATCGCCACCATTATTAGTATAAAAAATATAAAAATATAAATTCAAGTATATATATTGGCATTTGTAGACGCTATAACTTTCACGTAAACCAATTAATTTACATGTACTGGGATTTGTTTTTAGTAAAGACAAGTAGCAGAATACATTTTGGCCTAAATTTATGAAGACATTTGATTTTTGAAATTTTTTTTTACTGGATATGGTTTATAGCAAAAAGTCAAAAATATAGGTTTTTTTCAAAGTTGTCAGTCTTTTTTTTATTTATAGCACAAAAAATAAAAAAAATTAAAAATGCAGAGGTGATAAAATACCACCAAAAGAAAGCTCTATTTGTGGGGAAAAAAAGGACATACATTTCTTTTATCTACAGCATTGCATGACCGCGCAATTGTCAGTTTAAAGTAACGCAGTGTCATATGGCAAAAAATAGCCTGGTCAGGAAGGGGGGTGGGGGGTAAATCCTCTGGAGGGCAAATGTTTAATAAATAAATTAATGTAAATAAATATTGTTCCTCCATGTGAATTCAATGTATGTCACATTGATGAGATGATTTCATATATCCTAAAATTTAAAGAGTCTTCTGACTTTTTTCAACATCCTTTGTATCTACTTCCCCTATAGTTCTCTTCCTAATATTAGGCACAAATTCCCCAAGCTGATTTAAAGAAGGAAACACAATATGAAACAATGGCTTTTGGGAGTTTTTTTCTTTGCGTTCTGAGTTTTTTAATTTTTTTGTGCATTTTGATATTTTTCGAGTTTTCTATACAACAGGAAAAAAGTATGAGTATCAAATTAAATAATGCAAACAGGGCACACAACTACTTTTTCAGCTTTTTTTTCTTTAATCTTTTATGGTATTTAATTGTTATTTGATGCTTTTAAACGTATAAGACTAACATAAACTAAAAAAAAAATAAAGAAAATACAAAAACATGTATATTAAATTCTATATGTTCAGTATTAAAGCTGAATTACAGGCAAAAAAATTACAGTTATAATACAAATTCGCTGTCTTACCTGAAATCATGCATAGTTTTGCAAGTATATTTTTTCATTCTGTTTTATCTGCATCATTTCAATGCTAAATTGGCCACCTTGCTCTCCTGTATTCTTTCTGATGAACTTTCTCATCTGACTCATTAGTAGTAGCAAATGACTGGCCCATATCAGCCCCTTTGTGGTGGTGAAAAGAAAGTGTGATTGCGAGCCATCAGGTTTATGGTGGCCATACATGCTCCAATAAATGATCAATTTCTTTTTCGTAACCTCACAATCTGATCAATCAAAATACAATTCTTTTCATAAACAAAATATCTCAGTGCTGCAGATCAATGTAAAATGATCCATAATTTTTCAGTCTTGCTGATCAACTCAGTTTGATTGAATCCAATGGAAACTGATGTACAGAAAAGAAATAACTTGATACCATAGCACTAGAAAATCCCAGAGAAGCTAAACAACATTTTTCAAGTGAAAATAACCACTTGTAAAATACGGACTGGATAATGTAGATGATGCTGCCTTTTTGATTCAGGGAATCTTCAAACAAATAAAACAAAGGGTGCAAATACCTAGTACAATATCCACAGCACTGTAATAAAAGATAAAAATAAAAATGTATATATATATATATAAGGTGTATACTGTATATATATATATATATTTATATATATATAAAATACTCATGAAGGAATTGGTTTGAATAACAGCGTAGTAATAAACTCAGAAACCCAAAGGCCAGTCGAACGATGGACCTCCTTTGTTTCAAATAGAAGTCCTAAAACCAGCTGATGCATTTTAGGGGAAATGCCTCCTTCCTTTATTAATAGATAAAAATGAAGGTATACAGGTATATACTCACAAAGTGCTGTGCATAATGCACTAGGCTTTTATGCCAATCAAAATTGTGTCTAAATCAATCAGAATGGAGTTTATGGCTATTTCATTATTTGCAAATTTGATTGCTTTGATTGAATCACGCATCAATCAGATAAAAAAAAAATCACAGTATGTGTAGCCATCATTACTTTGCTTCTAAGTGACATCCCCATTAGTGCTTGTGTACTCATACATGCTTAAAGTAGATGTAAACACTCACCTTGTAAAACAACCCATTCAGTTTAACCACTTCCATACCGGGCACTTTTACCCCCTTCCTCCCCAGGCCATTTTTCAGGTTTCAGCGCTCTGACACTTTGAATGACAATTGCGCGGTCATACAACATTGTACCCAAACTTAAATTTTATCATTTTCTTCACACAACTAGAGCTTTCGTTTGGTGGTATTTAATCACCACTGGGGTTTTTATTTTTTGCTAAATTAACAAAAGAAGACCAAAAAGTTTGAAAAAAAAAACACGTTTTTCTTTGTTTCTGTTATAAAAGTTTGCAAATAAATAATTTAGTTCTTCATAAATTTAGGCCAAGATGTATATCTCTGCTACATGTCTTTGGTGAAAAATAACCCAAATTAGGATTTTTTTTTTTTTGTCAGTTTGTAGGAAAGTTATAGAGTTCACAAACTATGGGATATATCTGAATATTGATCAATCTAATTTCTTGAGGTCCCAGAATGTCAGAACAGTACAGATATTTACCCCAAATGACCCCTTTTTTGCAAAGTAGACAGTCCGACATACTTCATAAGAGGCATGGATGCGAGTTTTTTAAAGTTGTATTGAGATACAACCGGCCGGTGACAGATCGCGCCGCCGCGTGGCTCTGCAGGCGCACAAACTTCGCATGCCCAGGAGGACGCCATATTGCGTCCACTCGGAACGCTGAGGGATTTTGCCGGCTGCCAAACGGCCATTGGCCGGGCGGCAAGAGGTTAAAATATCAATAAAAGATAACACATTTGTGTATACATATAAAAACAGTATAAATGCCCTTTTTTCCCCTTTTTTATAAGTGGACGCATACCCATTGTTTTCAGCTGCAGCAGGATCTTAGAGAGCTGGGAAAGGAGAAGCAACAGAACACTGATCTTCCCAGTGAATGGCTGTGCAAGGGGGGGGGGGGCTTGTCAGAAAAAAAATGTTTGATCATTGGAGAAGAGCAGGCTGAGTTCTCAGTACAGTTGGAGAACTGACCATGCTGTGCTCTCATGCCTAGTGTGGTCAATTTTTAATAGGAAAGTAGAGAAATTGGCAGGAACACCAAGGAGAACAGAATACGTTATCATGAAAGTACATGGTACAGCAGGCACATATCAGTAATATGACATTTTGGGTTGACATAGTCTTTAAATATACTTACACTTTTAATAATCATTTATAGAAGACTTCATGGATGACTTACCCTTCTCAGCAGTTGTCTCTACAGTGCTCTGCACTAAAGCAATTTGCAGCAATGCCTGAATATCTTGTTCTAATGGGTAACTTGGATCCACCACAAAGCTTAGGTGTGCTCATTTTTTTCCTGTTCTATTTTCATTTACATATCAGAGTAAGATAACCATGATAGATCAGTACATCACAGTATATTTGCTCATGTAGAATTTAAATACCAGCAGCATTGCACTGGTCAGATTTTAGGTCCTGCCTGTCAATAAATTACACATCCTGAGAATCCAGACTTTATATATCAACTTTACAAATTATTCTTTTGTGATAGTTCATCGGTAGAATATAAATGATGTTGGAATAGCTTCTGTATTATCATTTTAAAACCATATCTGATAACATAATTGTGTTTTATGCACTGAGAATATATTTGTTTATCAGCATTCCTATTTTTTTTTTTTTGGTATCCATAACCTGAAGCTAGAATGTTTATCTTTTAATTACAAATTCAGCCTCGAGAGTTTGCATGTATTGTCTTCAGAGTTCCTGCTCAATGTCAGGCCAAAATGATCAAATGACAAAAATATACTTACATTAATGCAATGGTTAGGTGTTTTGTTTGAATACAAAGTTAGAGTGTGCTTATTCCAGGGTGACTGAAATGTCAAATGTTGTTGCAGCTTTAACCACATGCCCTCCTGAGGATTTACCCCTCTTCCTGACCAGGCCATTTTTTGTGTTACGGCGGTGTGTTACTTTAACTGACAATTGCACAGTCATGCAACGCTGCACCCAAATTAACTTTATGTCCTTTTTTCCTCACGAATAGAGCTTTTTTTCTGACGGTATTTGATTGCCTGTGGGTTATTAATTTTTTGCTCTATAAAAAATAAACGACAATTTTGAAAAAAAAAAATTATATTTTTGACTTTTTGCTATTAAACATGTCCAGTAAAAAAAAATTAAAAAATCAAATTTCATCATAAATTTAGGCCAAAATGTATTTTACTACATGTCTTTGATAAAGAAAAATCCTAATATGTGCAAATTAATTGGTTTACATGAAAGGTATAGCGTTTACAAATGGTGGTATATATACTGGGATTTTTAAAAAAAATATATTTACTAGTAATGATCAGCAACTTATAGCGGGACTGTGGGACTGCAGCGGGCATTTGGACACTGGGGGGAACTGACTTGGTGTCACTGACATCCCCAGTGACACCAATACAGTGATCAGTGCTAATGAAAAACACTGACACTACTAATGGCACTGGGCAGGAAGGGGTTAACATGTGGGGCAATCAAATGGTTAACTGTGTGCAGTGTGCTGTTTTACAGTGTGCTGTGTATGTGTGCTTCACTGTAAGCACACTGCTATGCATGGCTCTTCTATGCAAAGCCATGCATAGCAGTGTGCAGGAGCTGACAGGGGAGAGAACTGTTTTGTTGCCTTACAGTTCTCTCCCTCCGTCAGTAATCCTACTCGATCATCGGGTGCAGGCGAGTAATCACTGGCCGGGATCCGGTGATTGACAGCCGAGGCAACGAATAGCATCATGGGTAGGGCGCACGTGCAGCCCAAGCGCGCCCCCTACCCGGAAATGCACAATCACGTATATATATATGTGATTTTGCGCACTCCCTGTACCAGTATATCTGCTATAGGGTGACAGGAAAGCGGTTAACAAACTGAATATATATA